TGTTTTGGGCTAAGATGTAACTTTAGTGTATTCTTTTCTCTTTTTCTTCTTTTTTCTTTCTTTTATGAGGCTCTTAGTGACTCTTGGAAGATAAGTGTGTTTGTCTTCCTCCTGTAAATTTTCTACTGATGATTAATGAAAGTGTTATTGATCAAAAAAAAAAAAAGGAAGAAGAGAGTAGCAGCAAGGAAGGAGAATAGGAGATAAGAAGAGTAGAGAGTAGAGAGAGACTAAACAGATTGTGGGGTTCGTTAGAGTCCCCACTATCTTTTATACTTATGTATAATGTGGAATGAAATTACAATCACGCCCTTAATAGGGCAGCAGCAGTAAAAAATGAAGACCCATGGGCCCAATAAGTGACATAATAAAAGCCTACTAACAAACATAAAATAAGAAACATAAAAAAAATTCCTAATAAATACTTAAGTAAACAGCATAACCAGCCTATTGACAATTTTCAAGGAAAAAAAATCATTTAGAATAGAAACAAGCATAAGACAAGATGTAATAAGCCTTACCAGGATCAGATTCAATAGTGCACCAAGACATGATGTCGAGCTTTTGGAAGTTGCATAAACCAAGAAAGGATAAAATTTAGAAAATGCACAAAATCCAAGAATTAGCACACAATTATTATCTTAAAAATACATATAATCTATGATACAAAACAAGAATCACATGGTACAAAATGTGTTGAAGAATGAATTGATCATATTATTGTAGGAGATATTGGAGGAGCTTTCAGAAAAGCAGAGGATCAGATTGTTGCCTTCTCTGGTCCAATTGGAGTGGGGGATGCAGTTAATGCAAAGGTCCAAGCAGTTCTACAGGGAGCACAGATTGCTAGAAAGCTGAACTGGGAGATTGCTAATTGAAGGTGATTCTAAACTAGTAATTGGGTGGCTGAAGGAGCCGAAGATTGTAGCTTGGTCCTTTAGGGGGCAATGAGAAGAGTTCAAGTGGCTAACCTCAAACAATAACAGTTAGAGTTCATTGGGAAAGGAGATCGGAAAATGGGCTGGCAGACCTTCTAGCTAAGCAAGGGGTGCATAAGGATGAACTATTTTGGGCTCAATTGCAATTCTGCTTTGTTTTTGAGGCTGCATCTCATGCCTCTTTGTAGGAAGTTTTTGTGCTATAACTTTTGATAGTTCATTTTGATTGATCATTAATAAAATGATGTTTATTACTAATCAAAAAAAAATTGTAGGAGATATTTGTCTGTCTAAGTTACATTATGTTATACTTAAATACAAGGTGTAATTGTTTTGACATAGAAAGTTTAACTTATCAGAATCTCAAAAAAAAGTATAGGAGTGCAGAGGATGAGCCTAGGGATGTAAATAGATCGGGTTAAATAGTAAACCTACCTAAGTGCCTATAGGGTCTAGTCAATGATTTTAAGAGGTGCACCTAGACACACGCAGGCAAGGCGCATTTTAAGGTATGCGCTTCACCTAGATCCCAAGCACACCACTTTCAAAAGGCACATGCCTAGAGCACCTTGTGCCTCATCCCAGGTGTGCACCTTTTTTTGCGCTTTTTGGTGTTTTTTGAGCATGGTGGCTCTCCTAGACCCCCAACCAAGCCCAAACAAGTCCACGTTATTCATTCATTCATCCTAATAAAAGATATTTTAAAAGATAAATTAAAATTATAAAATCAATTTTTAGGGATTAAGCATTTTAAGACCCTAACATGGACATGTTTACACTTGCATCAAGGGGCTTAGTACAAAGGCAGCTTGTAGAATTAGGAATGAAAGATGTAACATCACATTAACTATTTCCCACCGCAGGTTGGGAAAGAGGACCACAAGCACCTAGAGCAAAAGCATAGGGAGCAAAGCTTTAGATCTTTCCAGAGCCACCTCCCGGCCATCGAAGCTAGCTTCGGACTTGTAGGAGCTTGAATCTGAGTCTAACTCCTCCTCCGGATCTTCTAAAGGTGAGCTAGGAGGCATTGGAGAGCGATTTGTTTCTCTCATACCTTCTTCAGTAGACAGAGGGGTGTCCCTTTTCTGGTTTACTTCCTTTCTTATTCCCGCAAAATTTCCTAGAATGGATTTTTTCCCGATGTTTCCTCTTGGGTGAAGTAAACTTTGCTTCCATAGCTCCAGGAGCTTGAGCCTCATGCAACATCCTCTAATCGGAAAATGGGGCTGCAATGATTCCCGTTTTGCCATGTGCACCTAAATCAGAGTGATGAGTCAACTCGACCAGGCCCAGTTGTGACTCAGTCGTCTTCCCCACCTCAAACAAGCGGTTTGTCTTCTCTATCTCGATCGAATAGTAGAACCAGACATCGCTGTCCAGAATTAGAACTGAGCGAGGGATAGCATGCACTCCTCTTCCCCTTACCTTGTTTCTTGCATAACGTAACTCCTGTAGGTCCCTTGTCCTGGCATCGGTAGTCTCAAGAGTCAAGACCACCACAAAGGCTTTCCAGAAGGTTGAAGACCTCTGTAGTCCAGAGATGAAATGGAAGGCCACAGATCGTCACCCATACTTCAAAGGATAGGCTATTGGGGGCAGTATTAACTGTTGACCACCATCTCTCAAGCAACACACGCCTTCCGTAGATGAGTAGAGAACCTAGTCTGGTCCAAATGTTGACTAGATCCTTCGAAGGGGCAAATCCCACCGGCCTACTTGCGGCTAGGGGTTTCAAATGCAATAGATTAGGGGAATGGAGATTTGCTGATAGGCCTAGCTCTACGTCGTTCCAGTTTAGACTTTCTTCTTTGGTGCATATAAATGTTGTCTTCCATACGCCAAAAGGTCCAAACTGGTGAAAGATGGAGATAAATGGTTGTCCTCCGACCACCACTACTTTGCTTCTGCCTTTTCCAAGAGCTGGAAAGTTCTTCAACAGGGGGGTATCCGTCTTTGGTCCCTCCTTGCTGGTGAGAAGTGGTTTAAGAGTGTTTGCGAAAGTTTTCCACCCAAAGTTGTTTCCTTCTTCAGGGATGCAAATGTTGTATGTTATGCCTGCACCGTCCCAATGGCTAAGTCTAATGAATCTTCCCCACTTCTTTTTAGCTGCATAAATAATAGTTATCCTTCCTCTGTCTACTCGTCGTTGAGGTCCGCTTGGCCAGATACGAGTGCTCAAAAGCTTCTCTAAAAAATCCACTGTCCAACTCTCCTCCAATTCATTTAGGGAGAGCTTCATCCAAGCTCCTCTTCCTCGTTCTATAATCACCAATTCACCGTCATTGTTGAAACAACTGTAATCTAGCTCGAACATCTTGGAGCCGATAGCAACCCAACGTCGCCAACTCTCCATCATCGTTGCACTAATGTGTTAACTACCTAGTTGGTAAGGACAGCAACTGCCACGGAGAACATTCCTCAATCTATATTTTGGGAGCAGTACTAACACACTCAATATGGAACTATCTATTGAGATGGGAAGGAAAGGAGCCCAATGAAATTTTGTCAATTCTTGTTGGTTCACTGAAAGATAGTTTCATGTTTTTCTTTACCTTCTTGCTAGATGCAATCCCAAATAATCCCCCTCTTAACCAGAGTTATGTTGCAATTACCTTTTTGAGAATTAATGAAATGAATGTGGAATTGAGGCTTCTTTTCAAGAGTTGCTGATTGGTGAATTTCCAAAAGCACCTTAAGAAAATCATTTTAATAAAGTCACAATGCTTTTTGTAGAAGATGATGATGAAACCATTGAGCCTAGGGGCATTATCTGCCTCCATATCATCTATAGCCATTTTCACTTCTGAGAAGGGAGCCTCCAAATCAGCTGCTTGTGAATCAGTGAGCATACCAAAATTCAAACCATCCAGCTTTGGTATGGACTTACAAGGCACTATATATAGCTTCACATAAAATTCCACAATGGCCCTTTCCACCTCACTGATTTGTTCGACAAGCTGCCCTTCTATTACAATCTTCTTAATTGTGTTGGACCTGCGATGCTCATTGGGAACTTTGTGGGAAAAGGCAGTGTTATTGTCCCCTTCCTTCAGCGAATTCATTCTGGAAAATTGCCTCCATTTCACCTCCTCCCTATATGCTAGCACATCAAACTCCTTCACTTACCTCTTTTAGCTTTCATATCTTCACAGAGACTATTGATCTCCTCTTCTCTGTCAATCTCAGAAATCACCTCCAAAAATTCTTCTTTGCACCTATCCGCTTGCCTAACAGTGATCAAGTCTGAAAGGGATTGATTTTCTGCCCGTACCTTCACAGTCATGAAGCAATGGGATATGGTTCGAAAGGGGTTTGGGTTCTTGGGCTGAGTGAGGAAAGAGATCCTCCTGTTCTACAGAAATCAGAAACCTACTGAGGTATACCAAGGTGGGTGATCTTGATTAGTGGACCAAGTAAACTTGGCCCCTAAGAGGGGTAGATCAATCAACTTCCGCCTTTGAATGAAAGTTGAAAACATTCTCGTACTCTATTTGCACGAGCACTACCTGCTTATTCTCTAAGCTTCTGATTGCATTAAAGTCTCCTCCAATCACCCAGGGTACCTCCCACTTTGTACAAACTACGTCCAACTCTTCCCATAGAATACACCTTAGAGAATTCTGCATGGAGCTGTAGATAGTGGCTATGATCAGCAGGATGCTGCTCTGCTGCCACTGTAAATGAACCAAAAGAGAGTATCTTCCTTCTGCTATGTCCACCAAAGAAAAACAACTGTTATCCAAACTGATAGCCATCACACTTTCCGTGTTGTCCAGAGGGACAAAGATCCAATCACAAGCTTTTGAGCCCCATAGGTTTCACATGACTAGAAAATCCATGTTTTGTAGCTTCATTTCCTACAAAAGCCAACATTTGGACCTCTCTCTTTCAAAAAATTGTTGGCCACCAATCTCCTTGTCTTTTTGAACCCAAACCCCAAATGTTCTAGGAGATTATTTTGAGTCTATTGACTCTATTCATAACTGATCATTTTCCGCCAGTGGAATTACAACCCCAATGAGTGCTGATTGCTCCATCCTTCAACCCCCATGCTATCCGAAACAATTTCTTCACTTGTTTCTTATTCTCCTTTCCCTTCTCCATTAAAACATATGTTCAACCACCACAAACAAAAGACAACCCAAGGAACTTGCTGAATCATATTAGGCCTATTCGCTTCATTGCTTTTCACCTATTGAACTTTGCCTCCTTTAGTCAAGGATCGCAACTAGCGTCAACGAGGATCTCTCTTCAATTTGTTCATTGATAGAGACCATCACCCAAGTATTACTGCTATCTTCTTCTGTAATAGGATAACCCCTTAGTAGGTTCTCCTGTTGCTTTTTGTTATGTCCCAGAAACTTGACACACAATTCTCAGACTCACAGCAGAATTCACACAACTAGAACATCAACAAAGGAACTGGTATTCATTCAGAAGAAAARAAGAACATTAACAGTTGGTCGGTTCTTCGAGAGACCGCCGGCTCTCCCAATCACTCACAGTATTCTTCACTCAACAAAAGCCTATCTCCCCCATCCCCCAAAGCCCCTTCTTATACTCTTCTYACAGCATAACTGAYTCCCTCAATAAATGCCCAGCTGGCCAAGTTATAAATGCCCA